TTTTTTCAATGTATCAAGAATGTCTTATTAAACACTTAATATGGAATGGAGGGAGTAACTAATAAGTCATTCATCCCCATCTCGGCATTCCTAATGACATTTTTTATACTTTTATTACTTAAAAGCTGGCCCAAGCTTCAAAAGCTAGAGCTAAGAGTATGGTGGATCGGTTGATTCCGGAACATCCAGAAACAACAAACACACAGGTTTTACTTTACACGACCTATTCTTCAATTTTTGTTCATGCAACTAAAAACACACATTGATTGATCTCCATAAAATTTTGTACATTATATCGTTTCTCCGGGATGCCATTGATGCAGGATCACCCTTCTTCCAAAACATTGGTAACACATATTAAGTGTACTGAGTTGATGAAAGAGGGCATCGTTGAAGTAGGAAAAAAACTCAATCACGCTATAGAGGTACGACATTGGCTATATATGGGAAGTAACGCAGAGTGTTTAGTAAATGGGATTTCAATGAGCATTGTGTTATCATTCAAATGTTGATCTAAAGATTATAACTGATTGTTGTTTTGCTTAGTATCAGAATATAGCTTGAGAGTTTTCAACAATTTTATTTATTCTAATTTCTTTTTCCATTTAATGAATTGTTTAGCTTAGTATTCCTTAATGATCTATTGAACATTTCAGGCTATTAATTCAAGGACGATGATACTCATTAAGGAATATCCTTTCCTTGTTGGAACAACTCTTGCAATTCTGCTTGCTATTTGGGGAGCACAACGAAGCAGCCCAGCTCATATGCTGGAATAATTTATTCATGAATTGCATAAACATACAAATAAATGTATAAATTGTACTATTGAACTGTTTTCCACTTTGGAGCATGGATTACTATGAACTTCAATGAATAAAATGTGTGATATAAGCTGTGATTTGCATATTGCATATCGGTGTGAGTTTAATCATTTTGCTTGATATGGACTAAAACTCTATGGAAAAAATTCAAGCTTTATTGTCTTCATGATCTAAAAAATGCTTTATTTTTCACAAATTTATTATTCTACGGAGTAATATAACAACAACAAACCCATCAAAATCCCATGGAGTAGGGTGTAGCTAGCTGCTTAGAGAAAAGAAATAGCTTTTATTATTTAGATTATACAATCCTGCATTGGAAAATTAAAGAAAAATGAGTAAATAAGATTTTGAGTTGAACTAATTATTAATACAATTCAATCTTTTAGTGTGGTTTGACAGTCCCAATGGTACCAGAGAAGGTTTTCGACCACCATATTTGTACGGATTGGCATTTAGAAGTCTAACCTTATCGACATGTGGCCAATTCCACATAGGTGCCTGACTAAAACTCTTGTTCTGACGGCTTCAGGTCTTGTAAGTGCTACCGCTGCATTTTGATCTTTTAATTTGCTTGAGAGGAAAACTGTTCATTTGCAAGTGGTCAATCGGTTAGATTGGAAACAGTCTATTTGTGGACTTGGGGGAATGTTAGAATCACATTTCGGAATATTAAAGAGAGAATAACGCATTAATAAAATCTTGAAATGAACTAGCTAATCAACTGGATTGATTTTTTTTAGTGTGATTGACTCAAATTCCTAGCGGTGCCGCTCAGTGACCTCTATCCGATCCTTAACTATATAACGTCAAGAACCACTCAACCAAGTGCCTTCTGACTCCTCCATACCTTGCACATCAATCAATATGTAGGCTGCTAAGAACTAAACTAGCAAAGATCAACAAAGCTTCATTATAATGTCAAAGGACTAACTGAAATAAAGCTTAAGTTGATGGTTGGAGACAAAGAAAAGTTTATGCTCTAACACCACCCAATAATCATGGGTGGTGAAAAAAGTAACCTTTTCTTGTTTGTCTTTGATTTCCATCCACATCTAGCACGGTGGTAGAGACTTCCCAGGTCTACAAACACCATGCTTAGAATGACCCATTGACCCTTACTACTTGTATTTCTTGAAGACACTTTGATGTGAATTGTGAAGTAGAAAATTATTTGTTGGTAGCCAATTGTTACACCACCTTTCATACTAACATTACTTTTTGTTGTTAACATACAAACACTATATGAGACCTTGTCCGCGTAAGCACAAAAATGAAAGGCAGGGTGCCTATTGATGAGATGTTTTTTGCTAGCATATACTACTCCGCATCACATAACTCGCATTTCAGGCCGTTGTGGTACAAAAGACCCATAATAAAAACGAGAGTTAAACGAAATGGAATAGAGGCGTGTGGGGATATTAAGTGAGAGTATAAAACTTGCCATAATCAATTGAAAAATGTGTTGCTATGTTAGGAAAAGATGCCGAGGTTGGGAAATGATGATATATGGGCTCCTATACAACAACAACAACCGAGCCAGTCAAAATCTCACAAAATGTGGAGTCTCGCAGAGTGTGTGTACGCAGATCTTAATCCTACTAGGTAATACATAAGTTGTTTCCAAGAGACCCGGCTCGAATACACGTGAGGTCCTGTGTGATATAATAACCCTAAATTTGAAAGCTAATGCTAAACCTTTTGGGCATTTTCTGTATAACAAACCCTAAGAATGCAGGCAATAACCCTAAATATGTTGAGACTGATGCTTTGATTTAATCATCGAAATATGCAAGTGGAGAATTGAATCATAAAGAACAGAGATTGATTTATTTAAATCTAAGCACACCTTTGACTGCTTTCTCCGCCAGTTTGCCGGCGGCGGGTCGTTCTCACTTCTTCCCTTCCTCCTGGGGTGACGCCCACTTGGACTTCCCTCCAAAAATATGTTCAAAAATGCTTGGTGAGAGTGTGAGACAGATCAAATACCAAACACAAATTTAAACATCTAAGTACATCTTTATCTTTGGCGGACTAGGATTAAAGTAGCTGGTTAGGAGCGCGGTGTGCAGAGGTTTTTTGTAGTGTGTTGTGTTTGATTGGAATCTTCTACTTTTGCTTGCTGGACTTTCATTTCCTTGTACTTGGTGCTTTATCCTGTTATATCCTGTTATCCTGTTATATTGTGTTCCCTACCATAGTTTTTGTGCAGGTTGAGCCAAGGGTCTCTTGGAAACAGCTTCCATACTTTCGAGTAGGGGCAATGTCTGCGTACACACACCCTCCCCAGACCATACTGTAGTGGGATTCAACTGGGTTGTTGTTGTTGTAGTACATCTTTATCTTTTCTCCAAAACACTTCTTCTTTCATTTTTTTTCTTTTCTACCAAAATACATCAACATTCCATTAAAAACAACTATTTTTACCCATATTTTTTCTTACCTTACCTATCACATCATATTTTTTTCTCTTATAATTTATTCATCATATTTTACTTTTGCTAATCACATTAAAGACAAAATTGGAAGTCAACTATTCCCTTCGTCTCAAAATGTTTGCCACATTTGTTTTTTCAATAGTTACAGAAACTTTTGTTTATTTGTACGTTTTCATTAATTATTTGATAAAATAAAATATTTTTTACACCTCTTATTTAAAATAATTTTTCATATAGTTTTTAGATATATAAATTTTATTTTTTATTTATATACCAATATTTAAATAAAATGAATTGGAAAGATATTTTGCCTTGTTTTTTAAAATGTGACAAACATTTAGGGACTGATAGTATAAATTACCTAACCGGGTAAACAGTACTAGATCGGGTCTAGGATTGTTATTTGATTCAAGACAGTAAAATGTAAAAAACACACAAATTAATCGGGAGAACTGTAGGTGGAAACACTTGTAACCCAATTGTTATTCGATTATAGTTGAATGCACGAGAGCTTTTACACAAGGGTTTTAGTGAGAAGAAATCGGATCCTTTCATTTAAGGGTTACATAAGTATTAATAGGAAGCTAGAAGGAACAAGGCACCGCATACCCACGTCAGACCACTTTCCTGGGTGGCGTGAGGTGATTGACTCTGTATTTTAGTGGCTTGTCATCTAGCTAGGAAGGTGACTCCCTTGTCACGTAGCGTGTTGACGGATTGCTCGAATATCTTCAGCGATCCTTCGTTGAATTTGGCTGCTACAGTCCAACCTCCCTTGGATTCTTTTAAGCCGACACTTCCCAACTATAGAAACCTTACGGATTAGGTTTACACGAAATGGGCTTATAGAGATTGGGGATGAACGAGGGAAGTCTAGTAGTTTGACCGGTAGACTACTCGAAGTATACCGGTCAAGTTTTTATCATTGACCGATGTATTTCCACTGTCGTTTAGGCTTCTCATCCTAGAAATTTAACCTTGACATATCAAACATGACAAAAAGAGGTATATATCACAATTATTACTATTTACCCTCTCATATACCTCGTTCCTTGGAGTTGATCTAAAAATAGATTAACGCAATATGTATGGGACTCAAAATTTTGACTTGTATATATCCAAAAAAAAAGAATTATTCCTAAATGGCAATTTGAGAATAATTGCATATTTTAGACCTCCACTAAAATGAGATAATAATTTAAACTTTCTTTTAATATTAGCCATCATTTTGGGGGTTCATGCGCAAATGAGTGAGGTGTCCGTAGTAAATCCATTTTACATATTCCGTATTAATTTCACTCTACTAATTTTTAAATTACTTTTTAATGCTCTCTCCTCAATGGCCGATCCAGGAACTTAAAACTATGGAGCATTATATTGTGAGGGGGTCTGGGGCACCGCCTCCGGATTTTGTATATACAAACAATGCCAAACATTTGAAAAATAACAAATTTAATCACAAGCAATTATTCAAATAGTAAATTGAATTTAAAAGGTTTAATCCTTTAAAAGAATTTAAAAAATTAATTAATAGATTGCATTATAACCTAGTTTAATTATTACTCTGTATATGTTTTTAGTGTATTATACTAATCGGGAATTACTACAAATAAAAAAATAAAATTTAAATATTTAAAAACTACGTCAAAAATTGTACAAAATAAATTGTAACAAAAATATTTTATTTTATTAAATAATTAATGAAAACGCTTTATTTAGACCTTTCTTTTGCGGGATTCTAGTGGGATAAAGTTCTACATAGGGTAAAATAGAAACATTGGATTTGCTCTTTTTTCTCCTTTATACACCTTCCCCACTCACTTTACTCCCTTCAATGACCTACTACAAAACCATCTTTTTCCCCAAATGTCAAGTACAGTGTAGGAAAAATGAGCTCCCATTTCCTCTCACTAACTCTCCAACTACTTATTTCATTTGTTTCAACAAAATCCCAATCCATGAAATCCTCCCACCTTCTTGATTTGCTCATAAGGGACTACACATTCCAATCCTACCGCCACAAGCCCTTCAAAACCGGCAGAATCAACCCGGTCCACCTCCCGCCCGCCAACTTCACCGGGATCACGGTCGACGCGGCCCGGTTCCGGTGCGGTAGCCTGCGGAGGTACGGCGCAACCGTTGCAGAATTCCGCGTCCCGCCCGGTCCCACACTCCAACGTTGCTCGAAAAGGCTGATGTTAATCCGACAAAACCTCGGGCCGAACTGGTCGAAAGTGTACTACGACGACTACGAGTTGTCGGGGTATGCCCTCGTTTCTCCCGTTCTAGGGTTGCTCGCATACAACGCGGGTGACAACGACGACGACGACAACAACAACAACAACAACAACAACAGTACTGATGATAATAACAATCCTCGTGTCCCGTTCGAAATCGGGATTACTCGAACGGGACACGAGGAACCGATCACTGTTGATTTCACTGACACAGCAGTGATCGGTCGTCCTCCCTCCCGCGGGACCGTACCATTGTGTGCGAGTTTCGGGAGGGACGGGGAGGTGGCGGTGGCGGGAATGGCGTCGCGGGACGACCGCCGCCGCGTTTGCGTGGCGGGAGGGACGGGGCATTTCGGGCTGGTGGTGGAGGCGCCGACGATGCCGTGGAAGGGTGGATATGATCATGATGAGAAGAAGAAGGTGGTGAGTAGAGGGAAGATGGTGGTTGGGGGCTCATTTGGGGTGGCTTTAGGGGCTTTCCTCATGGGGTTGTTGGTGGTGGCGGTTATGGTGAAGGCGAAAAACAAGGCGAGAATGGCGGAGGAGTTGGTTAGGAAGGCTTATGAAGAGGAAGCTTTGCAGGTTTCCATGGCTGGACTTCATACAGCTCCATAGCTAAGCTAAGCTAGCATCTCTTTCCATTTCATTTCTTTGATTTGTTTCTCTTCTTATGTATTATAAATATATATATTTGCTGTAAGACTAATTAAATTATTTTTTGTATCATTATATTAAAATGATAGATTAGTGTTAGAATATTCATCCCGAAATAGATTTACAATTTTTTTATCTCATCAGGATAATTTTTATTTATTTGTGTACTTTCATTGAATATTTGATAAAATAAAATATTTTGGTCACATGTCATTTTGTAGAACGTTTGACACAATTTTTCGAAATATAATTTTTATCTCTTATTAATATTCCAATTTATAAATAAAATATTTCCAAAAGATGAGAGATTTTACCTCGTAACTCCCAATTTGTAATCAAATTATGGACAAAGCTGTGAGAACATTAATTTGGTGTAACATTAGTTAAAATATTTTTTGTATCATTATATTAAAATGTTAAATTAGTGTTAGATTATCCCTACCTCCAAAGTTTGAAGAAAAAAAAATACTTCAATGAACTTATAAAATTTTGTGTTGAACTTTGACCATAGTATATGAGAAATATATGCTCCCTACTTAATTTAAATAATTTTAATATATTTTAATATTAATAGATTTATTTTGAAGCATAATTTTAAAATATAATATTTTTATAGTCTCTTCGCAAAAACAAGGTTTTAATTGGACTTTTCATATCTTCAATTAATTTGAAAAAACATTATGAATACTTTGTTTCAAAGCCTTTTTTGTACCAAAAATGGTTTTTTTTCGATAATGCGTATAAAAAAAGACGACAAAATGAGCGGTTGGTGGTCAAATCAATGGCGTGTATGGAATACACAAAACATGGAATGATACACCACAAATAATGCAAACAAAAGAAATGAACTCTCTTTTATGTACGGTAAAAATTAAAATTTCACATTTTATTTTAGGAGATGTTACAATTAGGAATTAAATTATTAGTACCCTAAAAATTGTATCTTAAATTGTACACTGCTGGTATACATCTTTAATTTGTGTCAAGGTATGTTCACACGAGCATAAAATGTCAGTATAAAATTTTTTGATCGCACTAACATATTATATCAGTGTAAACAATTGAAATGTTAGTACATAGCTTTGGTATACACTTTGGAATATATTCCACGGGATTCCTTTAGCATGATTGTACAATTAGTGATAGAACCATGCTTGAGTTTACATATGGCGAATTGGCAACCGACAACATTGACTCTCTGCATGTGATTGTCTTTGATTGTATCAATCTCAATATCATCCTTATGATAAAAGTAACATTATACTCCGTAATATTGAGTATATATAGTTAGAAGTAACATTCTCACACTGGATGGGTATCAAAAGTCAGGGATAGAAATGAATAATTTTATAAACAGAATATGGTTTTTTTCGTACAACCAATTTTATAATTCAAAGGGGAAAAAACAGATCACATCTCGGCTTTGCTTGCTTTGACACCACATGAAGCTTTTAGGGGAGGCTTCCTGCGTACTTATGGCACCTTAAACATAATCATACATAGTCATAGTGTATGCAAATCATTTTGTCAGTTTTTGAAAGTTCAAATAAATACTCCCTCCATCTAAATTTTACTTTTAGGTTTGTTTGAGAAGTTTGATTAAAATTATTTTCAATCCAATTTATTTAACTATTGATGTAAAATTAGATAATAAAAAGTACTCCGGGGTATATTGGAAAGAAACCTATTTTGATGAAAAATATATGCTATCAAAAAATTTAAAAAATATAGTTGACAACTGACACGAATATATTATTTTATCAAATGACTAATGAAAAAGATAAAGAAAATGATTAAAATCTGATTATGTAAATAGTAACAGGAAAGAAAGTTTTTGGACGGAGAGAGTGATGTTCATTTAGGCTAATTGGTTTAGCGCACAGGGTCGTTCAGCTTGCCAAGTGGCACTCGATGCAATTTTTTTTAAACAATTTGGTGACAGAAGTGACACAAATTCTTCTAGTGAATGACGGTAAGCGACTTGGGGTAATGTTTAGTTCTCTGCCATGGTCTATTGTTGGAATTGAATGTCAGCTCATTTGTTGGCTCGAGCGTTTAATTCCTAGTCTAGCTAATTATTTCTCGGAGTAGGCTCCCGTCCCTCCAATTATTATTTGGGATGCTTTAAACTTCGATACTCTTCAGTAATGAATGGAAATTAACATTTACAATGAATTAGTCTAATAAAATACACTAAAATTTACGATGTGTTTCTTGTGCCAAACAACATGACTTATTGAGCTACATTCAAATGTTTAGGCTAAAAACATTTGTATGTTCGGAGGGGTTAGAAATTTTGTAATTCCCTACGCAAATCTCACAACTAATATAATTGCGAAGCATTCAAATATTTTAAGTTAAACATTTGAAAGTATGCGTCTTTTTGTAAAAAGTGATAATGGTCATTGTGGTTATCGCTAAAGTTTGAGTATATGTACGATTTCATCAACAAAGTCTAAAATCAACCCGAGCCACGGGCTATAGCTGTCCCTTAGATCCTACTAGGGGCTCCCGTCCCAATCATGTACTATGGAATTTGTAATATTGTTTAACAGGCATGCATTCCGTAGCTCTAAACTCATTAATAATGTCTTTAAAGTTTTTGCCTCGTCTAAATAAACTTAACCAAATAAAATAGTTGGTGACATTAAATACTAAATTTCAGATTGAAGGTTCATTTTTATCATATTTTATAAAAATGTTTTACTTTCTAACTTAATAATCATTATCTTAGTTGTTATAAAAATCATTACGTTAATTATATTTTTCTCACTGTAACACATTTTTAAAACAAAACATTTATTTTAAATCATTAAAAAAATAATTCAAACGTTTGTTTTAAAAAAGTATTTATAAATTTTTAAAATTTTAAAACTATTTATAAATTAAAATATTTATAAATTTTTAAATATTTGAAAATGGAAAAATTGTATTATGAGATTACAAATTTAAATTAAAATGATACAAAACACATATGATAAAATTGAAAATTAAAATGATTATATGTTCTGAAAAAAATGTGTATTTTGCACAAAGATTTAACAAACTACTTTAATTCTATAAAGTTATTAACATATTAAAAATTTATAAATACTTTTATTTTTTAAAAATATAAAACTTAAATAATAATTTTAAAGTTATAAAATAATTTTTTTATTTTACAATTTTTTTTGTTATGAATATATAAATAGGGCATTGATTTTTTATAACAGCTAAGATAATAATTATTTAACTTAAAAATTGAGAATTTTTATTAAAATATGAAAAAAATACTCAAAATTATAATTAGTCAATGTAAAACATAATAATATGAGACTTGCGAGTTATTAATAGACAATATGTGGTACTTCATAGTAAACTTTTTTGTGTTTTATTAATCAAAGTAATGAAACTTTCATTTTGTGTTTTAAATAAAAAAAAAAGAAAAACTTGAAGAGCAGTCAGAAAATCTTCAATTTTGCCGCCGAGGTAGACTCGCCGAGAAAGACCCTTTGCCCCCAAATCTTCAACTTCTGGTTTCCCCATCGGTTGATGCCCAACTTGCAGATTTTTCTACTTCGGAAAAGTAAAACGAAATGGGTTCTTCTTCCACCCTGCATCCGATGTCTTCTTCCGCACAAGGTCAACTGAATCTTCTATTTTTTTAAATTTTATTTTTGTCTAATTACAGCATTACTGTTTTTATTTAATTTCAAATCTGCCAAAGTTTTGTACTCAGTCAAGTCTTCTCTTCCATTTATTCCATTCAGGCAGAGATCTCTTCAAGATTTACAAATCCCCAGGAGTAATCTTTGCTTTGGACTATCATCTCTGGTTCTATGAGCTTCTGATTATCAAGCTTTCATTCCTGAAATCTAGGTGAATTCCCATGCTTATTAGCAACCAGTTAGATTAGAAATTATTTCCCGGGTCTTCGTTTACGAGTTTGAGCTCTTGGTTGAGTTCGTTCTTTGATATTGTATCATAACCATGTTGATGTTGGGATAGAGGTAACTAGTTCGAATCTCATCGCTTTCCAGATTTAAAAAATTAATATTCAAGTGTGGAGAATTGTGAGATTTCATACCTAAATTAATTGGCAATGGAAGAAGTACTCCGAAATTCAAACTTTTATATATTAATATTTTTTCATATGGGTATTCATCTCGAGTTCGATTAGAGTCTTTTTGCCTCAAGTCACTTGCTTTTATTTTCCAGACATGAGCTTCTATTTTGAGCTCCAAGACTTGGCTCTGATACCATGTACAATTGTCAGACTCCATCCTGAAACGAATTGGCAATGGAAGCAGTAACTCATACTCTTATATGTTACGGAGTAGTATTTTTTTACTTTTATTTTGTATGCCGGTTTGTTTGTTGTGTAATGCTTTTTTGCTGTAGCAATAAATGATAAATACTTATTTGTACATCTTACCTCTCCAGGCCCTGCTATTGAGTGGGGGACACATTGGATTTGTTTGGTTTGGAGGAGGTTTCTAGTGTAGTCTAATGGCCCAATTATCATATTCGGAGTCAATGTCGGAGGGTTCGGGGCATGGACAAGGTGTCCAAGCTGTACCATTTAAGACCTCTAATGGGTCTTTGAAGGTACTTTTATTACATGGGAATTTGGATATTTGGGTGAAGGGGGCCAAGAATTTGCCAAACATGGACATTTTTCACAACAAATTGGACTCTTTGTTCGGGAAGTTGCCCGGAAAACTTGGGAGTAAAGTCGAGGAGAAGATAACCAGTGACCCTTACGTCACGGTTTCGGTGTCCAATGCCGTGATTGCCAGGACTTACGTGATCAGCAACAGTGAGGACCCTGTTTGGATGCAGCACTTTTATGTCCCCGTGGCACACCACGCGTCCGAAGTCCATTTCGTCGTCAAGGACAACGACATCGTCGGCTCCCAGATCATGGGAGCGGCCGTGGTCCCCGCGGAACAATTATATTCTGGCGGGAAAGTCGAGGGCGAGTTCCCAATCCTCAACTCCAACAGGAAACAGTGCAAGGCCGGGGCTGTACTGATTCTGTCGATTCAGTACACTCCGATGCAAGCGGTCCCCCTTTACTACGGCGGCGTGGGAGCTGACCCCGAGTACCGGGGAGTCCCCGGTACGTATTTCCCGCTCAGGCGTGGCGGGAGGGTAACTCTTTATCAAGATGCTCATGTCCCGGAGGGTAGCCTCCCGAATGTGTGGCTTGACAATGGGGTGCAGTTCCAGCACGGACAGTGTTGGAACGATATATACCGTGCCATAAGTGGGGCCCGAAAGTTGATCTACATTACCGGCTGGTCCGTCCACCATTTGGTTCGACTCGTTCGAGATGGCGATGGTGCGAAAGAAACCACTCTCGGGGATCTTCTCAAAATCAAGTCTCAAGAAGGTGTGAGGGTGCTACTACTTGTATGGGATGATCCTACTTCCAATAGCATTCTGGGGTACCAAACTGTAAGTACTAATTGCAAGAAAAGTGTTAACATTTTGAGTCTTTGCCCTATGTATACTTTTTGTGCCAAGGCCTCTTGGAAACAGTCTCTCTACTTCCAAGTAGGGGTAAGGTCTGCGTACAAGTACCTTCACCAGATTCTACTTTCGTGGGATCCTACTGGGTCTGAAGTTGTTCTGTATAGGCCAAGATATTTAGCATTTACCTACCCCTAATATGTTGACCTAATTAAGATAGAATGATGTTGCTTAATTATAAACTGTTATCAATATATATTATTTTTTATGACAAATAGGATGGAATTATGCAAACTAATGACGAGGAGACTCGCCGCTTCTTTAAGCATTCTTCTGTGCAAGTGCTGCTTTGTCCACGCGTTGCCGGAAAAGGACACAGTTGGGTCAAGAAAAAGGTTGTCTTTTTGTTCCATTCCTCGCGTTCATCCTCATGTATAAATCCTATTTTCATGCGTAGACTTGCTTTAAAAGTCAACATTGAGGAATTCATTTTTTTTGTTTTTTAATTATTATAATTATCAGGAAACTGGGACAATCTACACGCATCACCAGAAAACGGTTATTGTGGACGCTGATGCAGGAAGCTATCGGAGAAATATCATAGCTTTTGTGGGGGGTCTTGATTTATGCAAGGGGCGGTATGATACCCCAAACCATCCTATTTTCAGCACGTTGCACACCGTGCACAAGGATGACTATCACAACCCGAATTTCACGGTAATCCCTTGATCTGTTGATTCTGTTCTTTGCAATGCTTGAGCAAAAGATACTTGGATCCAACCATACTAAAAGATCGAATCCAATCAATTAGTTATTTGTTTGTATGCACTCAAAATGTCATACTTTTTTTCATTCTTATGTCATCTTTTAACTTGAATAGGGAAATACTACGGATTGCCCTAGAGAACCATGGCATGATTTGCACTCTCGGATTGAGGGGCCCGCTGCGTATGATGTCCTAAAAAACTTTGAGGACCGTTGGTTGAAGGCGTCAAAGCGACACGGGATTCAAAAGGTGAAAGCTTCGCACGATGATGCATTGCTCAAACTCGAGAGAATCCCCGAGATTTCAGGAATAGCAGATGCTGCTTGCCTAGATGATGATGATCCCGAGAGTTGGCATGTTCAGGTATCATTTTGCGCACGAATTATTAAAAATCACAGTAGTACACTTTTTTTTAACCTTCACATGACATATATGCCCTTGGATTACAGTAATGATACAATCAATATAGAAACTATGTGTGGGACTTGGGAGCATGTGTTAACTCTTTTTTTTTAATCTGATACCGAACAGATTTTCCGGTCCATTGACTCCAATTCTGTCAAAGGGTTCCCTAAAGATCCAAAAGATGCCACGGCCAAGGCAAGCCACCTTTTATGTTTCTGCATATATAGTGAATTGTTTGTCCTAAACATTTTTTGGATCAATTTTATCCTTCTATGCTTCTATATTTGAGCCTCTTAGAATTATTTTGTGCTTAATGCTTCTATGTTTGACTCGGGGTCTCTTGGAAACAACCTCTCTACTACCAAGTAGGGGTAAGGTTTGGGTACACTTTCCCTCCCCAAGCCCTGCTTCTTGTGTGGCTTTAGTGGGTTTCTTTTTTATCGATATCATTTTAAGAACTAACCAATTGAAGTGGAGTTATGTTGGTACATGCAGAACCTAATGTGTGGGAAGAACGTTTTGATAGACATGAGCATACACACTGCATACGTAAAGGCGATTCGTGCTGCCCAACATTTTATTTATATTGAGAACCAGTACTTCCTCGGCTCATCTTTCAACTGGAATAACTACAAAGATTTAGGTAAGATTTTCCTTTAAACAAAATTTATCTGCAAAAAGATAGTTATTGGCATATAAGTTTCAACCATTTAAAATGTGTTTTTTGCCTTAGACTTTGAGTCTTGTTGCTAGTGTCGGCATGTGTGCATCTTATGTCTGCTCTTGGCTAGTTAGTTGCTTAGCTTGTGATAATAACTTCTCTCTGTGTAAGGTTTGCGTACACACCCTCCCCTGATCTTACTTTTGTAGGATTCTACCGGGTTTGTTGTTATTGTAGTTGTGTTCATCCCTATAAGTTACTACACTGTTTTCTTTTTAGTTCTCTGATCGCCTTCAATTCGTTCAACATTTCCATGGCAGTTTTGTTTCATTTTAAAAGCACAGATCTGTTCATGCATTGACAGGTGCAAACAATTTGATACCGATGGAAATTGCTCTCAAAATTGCTAATAAGATCAGATCGGGTGAAAGATTTGCCGCGTACATTGTAGTGCCAATGTGGCCGGAGGGTGTTCCGACTAGTACACCAACTCAGAGGATTCTCTTTTGGCAGGTAGAGGCATTTCGTTCATTTGATGAGTTCAAACTGTAGATTCTATTTAGATTCAAAAGCCATTTATATGTTGGTTTACATCTTAATACTAAATCGGTGTGAGATGACTTAACAACAAGATCGTGTTTGCAGTATAACACGATGCAGATGATGTACGAAGTGATATACAAAGCTTTAGTTGAGGTAGGGCTGGAAAAGACGTATGAACCCCAAGACTACTTGAATTTCTTTTGCCTTGGCACAAGAGAGGCCATTGATAACACAACCGATTCAAATGGAACAAGTTCATCATCATCATCATCATCGCCATCATTATCATCATCATCATTTTCATCATCAGCTAACACTCCCCAAGTATGTCATTCATCCTTAGATTAAACACCACTCTTCTATTGTGTTTTCTCGATTTGGTTTTTGTTAGGGTACAAAGCCTTACGTGACCTACAACCACAACCATAAGTTTTTAGTTGTGTTGGTTTCTTGACATGGTATCATAGCCTTGCTGACCTAGAGGTCACGAGTTGGGAGAAATACCTTATTAGGACTAAAACATCTCTACATACCCAAATATGACCTAGCTTCAATGTTTTTATACCAAAATAAGACTTATAGTGCCAAATATAATGCCAAAAAATATTGTGAAATGCCAACACAGCCGAAAATGTGGGTTTTTCACATGGCCAATACTTCTATTAGGTGAAAGGTTTCATTTTGGAACAAGTTCCATGTTTTAGTCTTATTTAGATAATTTTCTTGTCCTGAGGGGCAACCCTTTCTAGCCTACAACCACAACCTTAATTGAGCTTTTGGTTGAGTTGAGTTCCTTAACACTATATTTGGTTCAAGGAATTTGGAAGAAAAGAAAAGAAAACAGTTTTCTCTCACTTTTCCTCACCAAAATGGGAGGAATTTGGTTTTCTCTCCTCTTAATACATTTTGCCTTCTCATTTTCTTTTCTTTCCACTTTTCTTTTCTTTTCCTCTCTAACCAAACAAGAAAAATTGTTTTCCGTCCCCTTCTCTTTTCTTATCCCTTTCAAATTCCTTGAGCCAAACATAGTTTAAGAGTTTTGGTCATGGTTTATGAATTATTGTGTGGTATACCTTCCTTTGTTCAGGCGCTCTCCCAGAGAAGTCGACGTTTCATGATATATGTCCATTCGAAAGGGATGATTGTGGATGATGAGTTTGTGATCTTGGGGTCGGCTAACATCAACCAACGCTCCTTGGAGGGCACCCGAGACACTGAAATCGCAATGGGAGCATATCAGCCCGATCACACCTGGGCTAACAAAAACTGTAGACCACACGGCCAGGTAATCACCACATATATAATGTTTCCAGTGTTTTGACTGTTTCGGAAAATAGACGCTTTATTACCTTAGAAAAACAAAAAACTATGAACCTACTTCATAGTTTTTTTAAATGCTTTTTCAAACTTTTAACCAAACACTAGAAAGTGAATTCATTTTCTATAAGTAATTTTTCAGAAATCGTTTTCCACAAACATTTTTGAGAAATCGTCTTCCATTTATCCGAATTGAGTCTTAACTGAAAAGCGTTACTTTAACATTAGGGATACCTCAAAGGCTAACACAGTCAGTGTTTTGGCACTCGCGCACAGACAACGGGTGTTGACTATGACACGCTGGTGGCTAGTGGTGTCAACTTTGGTGTCATCCATGATGTTTTTTTACTTGAACCTTACACGTGAACATTAAATTTTAAAAATTGGGTAACACTGAGGTTCACCTTGTCAAAAAAAGAATTCAACCAAAAACTCAAACTTGTGGTTATAGACCCAAGGGAAAAAGTTTTAGGGTCCGTTTGGTATACAGAATTGATGGAATTCGAATTGAACTGGAATTGAAATTTCATGGGATTCAATTCCATAGAATTGAATTCACTAATTTCAATTCATTTTTTACACTATCAATTTCAAATCCACATAATATTTGTGCTACCAAACATCAGAATTAGAATTGAAGTCCCCAATTCCAATTTCATAGTTTGAATTCCGTGTACCAAACAGGGCCTTATACTCTAACAACCAACCAAACGGAATGCAGGTATACGGGTACAGGATGTCACTATGGGCCGAGCATCTCGCGACGGTGGAAGCGTGCTTCGAGCAACCGGAGAGCGTGGAGTGCGTGAGGAGGGTGAGGGCTCACGGCGAGCACAACTGGCGGCAATATGCGGCGGAGGAAGTGGCGGAGATGAAGGGCCACCTCCTCAAGTACCCTGTCGAGGTTGACGGGTCCGTGAAGGTGAAGTCGATGCCCGGGTGCCCGAACTTCCCCGACATCGGAGGGAAGATCACCGGTGCGTTCCTCGGCGTCCAAGAAAATCTCACCATTTGAATGGTAATACATGGGATTTGCATTGTTTTCAATTTTCCATAGAGTTTGTATGTTCTCTCCCCCTCTCTCTCTCTCCCCCTGTAGAGGAAATGTCCCAAATGCATTTGGCACAAATTGTGAGAGAAGAGAGAAACACACACACGTATTTATTTTTTTGGTCACGGCTTATTTTAATCATTTTGGGACCATCTCAAACGTGTGACAATTTGGATTAAAATCATACGGAGTAATAAAAAATAGTTATGTGGAAAATTGATTCATATATAGAATTGTATGGAAAAGGGAGATGTAGTACTACAAAATATGGGTTGCATGAAAATTAATGTCTAAAAACAACAAATTATACTCTCCCCACTCAGAAATATCGTTCCAGTTATTATTTTAAGTCTCCAGATAACTTTGATTTATTTATGTGTTTCTATTAATTATTTGATAAAAAATATCTTTGTTACAACTTGTTTTATAGAATTTTTAAGTAGTTTTAAAATATGTACTATTATTTATATACTAATTTATAGATAAAATAATTTTTTTTGGTGGCATTCTTATTTCCCATCTCTCCCACAAAAGAGCTCTTCCTTATAGAGAGCACCAATGAGTTTATTGCAACGATATCCTCTACGGTTTGGAAAATGCGCACTGTTACCCCATCTACTTTCAAAAACTTACATCATTACCCATCTCATGATTTCAAAATCCTACACACCAATGCCCCCTCCGTCTGGTAAAATTATGAATTTAATTAAACACGCTGTATTACAAACACGTTTGACATGCGAGTACATATATATATATATATTTTGTGTTTTTGAACTTGGATGTACAATAACACTCTTTTAGCACTATTCATATACTTTGTATTTAACCAAATATTTTCTAGAGAACTACACATATGTTTGTAGAGAAAACAAAAAAGGAAATTATATTTTAAAAATGTGGAGGCTCATGTGACTATATCAGTCTAAATTTATCTTTAATTCAACTTATTCGAAAAATGAGTTAGAATATATGATAAAAGGTGTATATTAATTAGTATTCTATCTGTCCTTGAAAACTCTTCTTGTTTTGACTTTTTGAATCAAACAATTACACTCTTTGACTACAAAGTAAGCATAATCTAAGTAAATAAATGCTATAAAAATTTAATATGTTAAAACTATATCCTAAGATGAAGCCAATTATATTAAATTTATATTATAATTTAATATATCTTTTCTCACAATTTATAGTAAAAAAATGTCAATGTTTGATAAAAAAGTCAAAACGGAAAAAGTTTCTAAAGATGGAGGAAGTAAAAAATAAGTCAATTTCTTAAAAAATATTTAAGCTATAATTCTCAGTAAAAATTATAAATTCTCAGCAATTGCTGAGAATTGTTTAAAATGGTTGGTTAGATTCTTATTTGCTTTGTAATGGAAAAAAAATAAGAATTGATTTCTCCATCTAAGATTTCAAAACAATGTACTATGCAATTTCTTTTTTTATTCTTCCATTATTATTTTAAATTATTTAATCAATTCTCAGCAATTTATTATTGAAACAATCATTTTAAAAAATTATATCCAAATTGATTATTTCAACTCAAGAATTTATATACCTATTATTTTTTTTCTTCAACTTCCGATGTGAGATACTTTAACATATTTAGCATTTGCCCCTCACCAAGTTTAGTTCAGCCAAGTGCAATAAAATTCAGTACAAAAAGAAGAGACTTTGGCAAAATATTATTATTGGTTTGAGCCATAAAATGCACATCACAGCATAGAATCATACATGATAAACAACACAGTTCTAGTGGTCTTCAAATGTGTGGCATCTCGACAAATTGCATTTCAATAAAAAAAAATTATTACATAGTGAAAGAAACTACACAAACTACAATGAACCTTTCAAACCAGAAAATCCATCCCAACAAACTGAACTGGCACAGACAGACACACGACTATTGCCGTTGAATCCTTCCGCTTTTTTTGGGCGGGGGTAGGAAGGAATCAGTGAAGACCGTTGGCAACGGTCGAGTCTTTTGGTTTTTGGGCGTAGAATCGTCGGTACTTGGAATCAACGTGGGTGAGATAGTAGGTTCCTGGAGCTAGGTTGCTGCAGTCCTTGTTGGTCACAAAGTCCTTCCCCCCGTACCTGTGCTCCATTAGCTTCAGTACTTCAATGAACTCTTCTGGATTCGTCTGCACCACAAACAAATGAAAAAGATGTGTATCGAAGTTGATCAGATGAGAAAGAGGAATCTTATTTTGGAGCGGACAGAAAGGAGTGCCCAAAAAGAGGAACCAGAATAAATAGGTTCAACTCAATCCATTAGTATGAAGTCTTTCGGGAAGTGCCCAAAAACAAATCCGTGAGGGTTTGGCCCAGAGTGAACAATATCATACAAATGCGGGATTGGGGTGAGAGTACATGCGGTCCCAACATGAATATAAACATGTGTGTTATGTACTCATGAAGTATGCAAGTTCATCCTAGAAAAACAAATGTAACAAGAAATCCTCACAAATAAGCAAGCATTATTTCATTAGAACATATGAAGTGAAGGAAGAAAACATGGATGAAGGGAAAACTCCAAATATACCTCATGCCTTGCCTTCAACTTCCCATCAACATTCAAGACAGTTGCAATGTTGGACAAGCTGAATGGATGTTGCCCCTCCCTCAGGCGGAGTGAAAACATTGTGGCAGTCAATCCACTCCCGTATGAGAACATTATCACCCGTTGTCCCGGCTGAAATGACAAAACCATTCCAATTTAAGGACAAAACGCACTGATCAGTGAAGTAAAAAGGATAAGAAAAACAAACAAGGGTCTGGATGGTCGTTTTTGATTGGTTTAGAGGATAAGGTTTAAGTCAGTGTATCTTTAATAAGTAGAATGGTTTAAAAAACGAATGGAGGTTAATTGCTATATAATATGATCACATATTATGTTAATCTTTCAGTTTTTGGAAAATCTAAAATGCGTATGCAGATATAAACAAGCCTTCCAGACCCCTCCATCCAAATAAATAGACCCTAAAAGGTAAGTAACTGATATATATACCAGGGTGGTGTGCTTGTTGTGGAGAAGGGAGATGAATGCAGCGTAGAGAGATGCAGTGTACATGTTGCCAACTTGTTTGGGTACCAATGTTGTTGGCTGCACCTTTTCATCATAAAATGGTTTGGCAACTTGTTGCGATGCCTGTTTATGGGACACATCCATGAACTAGGTAGTTAGCTCCCACTCCAACGTCAATAGGAAACAATCTATAAGAATAAAGAAGAGTGAGTAATTATTATTCAAACGTGGAACCTTTTCAAGATCACGACTTGAGTAACTCTCATCGCTTGTTAAGGATGCAAACGGTGCCAGTTTTTCCTTTGAAGCCTCATCAATGTAGCTGAATATTTCAAAGCACGCACAAAAAAGGTCAATAGATGAAAAATATGACATGAAAGCATTGTTGCAGCAAAAAAACATCTAGGCACTAAGTTATCTTTTGGCCACCTATGTCTTATTTCACACTTAAGTTAAAGCCTAAGCTGTCACCCAGCACTTCTTACAGCATTGCCAGAAATTTCATCCTTAAAAATTGTACATATGCATTATATTACCAATGTCTATTCATCTCACCTGGCATTCCTCACAACATCATTGAATATCAATCGAGCAAAACTCTTCTGCACAAGCTGCAGAATATGAAATTGCATGTTATATAGCTACCTATAATGGTACTCTCTCACTTTAGGTCCCACAAAAGGGTGGAAATGGTAATATGATACCCTAACTAATAAATTATACTGAATCACACAACGTAAAACCAATTACCTTGTTGTAAGGAGAGTGGAAGACAAAGTAGCTAGCATCAGCCACAGAAAACGGCTTGCCCTCTGTCTTTTCATGTCTACACATTATATATGGAAGAGAAAGCAGTGATCAAAAACAGAGTTTTCCTTATTGCTCATGTATAATTATGCACGGTAATTGAAACCATTTCTTACTTATGGCAAAAGCTCTTGTAGCACGAATCAAGGGCCATGAGATAACATGTTTGTGAAAGCTTACCATCAACAACCTGTGCACACAAAAACAAAAATCCATTTCATATAAGTAATTAGATTGTAACTTCCATGTGAATAGCATGCATACCAATAATTCCACACCCATACCTACAAAACAAAATAAAAGAAAGTTCTAGAGAAAAGACAAAAGGGGTATTACCGGATATTCACTGTCAAGGATAGGCTTGTAAAAATCATAAGCATGAGCCATATGAGTAGCACGCAACTTGCTCTCAAACACAATAGGAGCATCCGGTCCTATTAGCATAGCAATGGCTGCTGCTCCTCCAGTTGGCCGAGCGGGCCCATCAGCATAGACCTGTCAAAAGGTTCTTCACAATAAGCCAATGCCATTTCTACTGCTATGTCTATTCCAAAATTTTCAGTTAACAAGATAATTCAGACTCCTAAATTAAGAACCCTCTTTCAAGAACCTTTTGTTCCAAAAAGAGCTCAGTTTTAAAAGTTTACTGTTTTTTTAATATAATTCAGGTAAAGCCAAGCATCAGGTGGACGGGTGGTTTTAATCAGTTGCTTTAAACAATCTTGAAAAGTAAGGGTTAGGAGTAGATATAACCACTCAGAACTTGTAGAAACTTGTACCTCAAGTGAGTTTGCTAAAATAAGAAATTATTCCTAACTGTGACCATTTTTAAGACAGGGAGTATATCATTATCATCAAAGAAACAATATTCAATAGATTTTCTCTATCAGTTTGGTAGTGATCAAAGAATAAAGAACCAAACTTCACATGTTAAAGATCATCCAAATATAGGAGATAATTATATCAAGGTAATAATCATACCGCACTATCAGTGCATACAACCAGGCCATAACGTCCATCCCATGAACTGCTTTCAACCCAATTCACACAATTAAATAACGCAGCTGTTCCTCCATAGCAAGCATTAGTTGAGTCTACACCTTCAATGTCAGTGTTTCCAGATTCCTGTTGGTCCATATATCAAGAAAAAA